ACACACACACACACACACACACACACACACACACACACACACACAGAGAGAATACCTGGCAAGAGAAGGAAGATGACATCACTTCTCTACAATAAAGTGAGTCATTGTTCCCTATTTAGCTTTCAACTTCAAACACAAGCAGCACCCTCACAAATGCCCCTCCACCAAAAAAAAACCCTTTGTCAGAATTTGGAGCTGAAATGTAGACCAGCAGCCAGGGGGGTGATTGGGGGGGTGCTCCTTACTGTCAATGGCCAGATGAGTCTTATGTGAGACAGATTTGGTGGCCAAATTTGCTCCACTCAAAAGAGCGCACATTGCACAAAATTGATATAGTGTAGCGTGTGAAAATAGGCATTCACACTCATTGTGGCAATCAGTAGGCACAGCATGTAAGGTTCTTTATCTGAGGAAGAATAGATCCACAGCTATGTGGCTCCATTACAAAGACTGTGTGTTTAGTACCACCTGCTGTCTGCCTGGAGGCACTGCAGCAGAGATTCAGATTTGGGCTCAAAATTCTGCTGTTTAAAATGTCTGTAATGTCTCGTTTTTCCTCATGTTATGAACTACAATGACAGATTATTTGAATTGTTTTACTGGATACATGAATAAATGATAGATCTATTAGTTTGAGTGTGCAGAAATATTCCCCACTCTGCACCAACAAGACATATTATTCCCTAAGTAAACATAAATTTTCTTTGATAAAAGCTTTAGAGTTTGTTGATTATTCTATTAACTGGAGTGTCTGTCTTAACATACAGACACTTTCTCCCTACTGACTAAAGAAATACATCTAAAATTGTAAGTGAAGATAAAAACAACCAAACAAAAAAAGGCACAGTCTGAGCTCCTTGTGTTTTAATGATGAGACAATGACACTGTCTGCTGGCTGACAGGTTGCCTCAAGAGCACTTACGGGACTTTATTTACGCAGCATTCCTCCAATTTTAGTGATTCAGTGGCTGCAGCATCGTTGTAGCTTTTGGTTTGCATTATAGCCTCTTTGGATTATTATGTTTAGATATCATATATTATTTATCATATATTATAGTTTTAGACAGCAGCCAACTGACCTGTCTGTGTTTAAGATTGACTATTTGCTGCCAGTACTGCCTTTTATGTCACCCTGAGTCGACTTATTGGGTTGAAATCTCTCTTACTGTAGCAGGACTGTTGTTACTAAAGTAAGAGAAGCCAGGAATGAAAAAGGAATCTTGGGTATGTTGGACATGATTGTACAAGTTGGGTGTGTTTTTTGAATCTGTATGTGGGTTTGTTACATTTTTAAATTTGTTAGATTTGTCATAAAAAAAATAATAATCTGAATAAAATGTCCACCTTGAAAGATGACCCCCCATGTTAAAATGTCTAACTGTATAGCCTTAAAAAGTATATTCTATTGGTTTTAGTCTCTGTAGTTTCATCCTCCATAATAACACACACATCACATCGTTTCACCATTTTGTTTATTTCATAATGCCTTCCTTGATGTCATATGCTGCACCCCCTTCCCAATAACTTATGAAACATTTCGAAAAAGAGGTGTGTGTGTGTTATAATTCAATCTCAAGAGGAGGACTTAAAAAGAAAGATGTTGTTAAGTCTTGGATGTTTAAAACCAGAACCAGTATAATGAGAAATACAATTTGAATATAACCTGATTAAATAGCAACTGTGCAAAAATACTTACGAGATGTGAGACACCAAGAAAAAAAAACAAAAACGTACATTTCATAGTCCTGGGAATAAAGCTGCTGGCAGACATTTACATTATCAGTTCAATGATACACATCTATCTCTCTTCTTTCCGTTATTATTTCATTCATGTTCAGTAGATCAAAAATATCTTAAAAAAAAAAAAACTTTTATCCCCACTAAATATCACATAACACAAGCACTTAAAATGCAGGCAACTTCTAAGGCAACATGTGAACTAAAAACAACCTCTACTGTATAGGGAGGTGACCCTCCTCTATTTTGTCCGTTAGGCCATTCACAGACCAGATAAAATATGTCCTATTGCAAACAAATGACACAAAGTGAACTACTGAATAGAAAAGACAAAACGCAAAACAACACTGAGGTCAAATAAGAAGGGATACCACAGCTCCTTGTATTTACTCTGGAAGCTAGCCCACTTTTTAATGTGTATTTTAATGTGAAGCTCTTCCTTCTGCTGACACATCTGACTGGAGGTCTATGGAGAGGCTCATGCTCACAATTAAAAAGGTAGAGATAATGGGTGAATTTAAAAAGGGGCTATGATTTGGATAACAGGGATTCCTAGCACGCACTGCAGAAAGATTTTTTTGCACATTCTGCTTCAAAGCCTTTGTTTTGAGTTTCACATTCTGAGGAGGATGGTGTGGCCATTAACCACTGAGGAGCGCAAACAGACACTGACTGGTTAGCCCACAGGCCCTGAGAGCAAACACAGAGAAAACACAACCTGCGTCTCATCAGCAAGTTGTCTCGGTCATAGACGTCAGCGGCAGTGTCTGGGCTCATCTGAATGGAGGACCAGTGATTGTTTGGTCTGCGCTCACAGAAGACACTGTGAGGATGTGCAAATGTATGTACAGGAGACAAAGGTCTTCCTGTTGGGTCTACAATGCAACATGCAGCAGACAGTAGAATAGAGGTCTCTTTCCAAAGCTGGACTGGGAGCAGTGTATGTGCAGAGCAGATGACGGGTAGTGTTGGTGTGCAATGTTGAGGAGCGCAGGAGGGTGGAGGTGACGAGGGGGGGGGGGTGAGGAGGGGGAGTGGCAGAGTTTGTGTCTCATCATGACGTGCCCTGTCTCTTCTGTTGCTGAACCCGGATCAGCTCCAGCTGTTTTTTACACTTCTGGTAGTATGTGGACAGACTCTTATTCTCCTCCAGCAGCTTTTTGTGCTCCTGCACCAGACGGGACGTGTTCTGCTGGTCCTTTTCGTCTTGGTCCAGTTCAGCAATGAGCTCCTTCCTGTGCAGATAGTCAGGGGGGGCTGCGTTTTTAGGCATGTCATTTTCAACATTATGTTACGAGATTATGCATGCAGCTTTGGTAGCTTTTATGCAATTCAAATTTTAAACATTCACACATTACAGCTGTGAGATTTGGCAGTTAAGACACAATGAATAAGCATCTTCCACTGGGGTTTATGTGAGGTCTTTGAATGAAAGTGAATTTAAGAAAAATAATTAAGCAACACTTGACTTTAGTCACTACACTTACTTCCTTTGGATTAGCAAGGCAATCTCAGTTTGCACTTTCAGGTATTCTTGGGCCATCTTGCAGTGTTGCTCAAAAACAGCCATGGACTCTTTGGAGTTGGGACAGGGAGCAAGGGGCTGGAAATGAAAATGGACGCTGTTTAAAAATATTCTGCTCAGGCATTAGTATCAGCTAGTGCGTATTTAAATTTACATTACTCTGTTTACAGAGCATCATGTCCTCAGGGATAGTAATAATAATAATAATAATCTAATCTAATCAAAATTTATTTATATAGCACATATTAAAAACAACAAAGTTGACAATAGTGTTTCACAGTCAGTAAAAGCATGAGGCAATTAAAACAAAACGGTAAGCAAACAGGGCAGGAAACAATAGGTGACAATAAAACAAGCCAGATAACAGCCAACTAGTTAGAATCAAAAGCCAAAGTAAAAAGATAGGTTTTAAGACATGATTTAAAAGACTGGATAGACTCGGCAGTCCGAATATGAACACGGAGGTTATTCCAGAGTCTAGGTGCCACGGTTGCAAAGGCCCGGTCACCTCTGGACTTCAGTCGACACCAGGGTTGTGCTAGGAGCATCTGATTGGAAGATCGTAGTGCTCTACTGGGATTCTACAAATAATAATAATAATGAGATGGCTGATGTCCCATGGCCTCAGTCGCCTCATAGCTAAGTGCCTCGAGGCAACTGTTGTTGTGATTTGGCACTCTAAAAATAAAACTCAATGAACTTGAATTGATACCAGTGCAGCTGAGCCGCATCAGATTCAATACAGCATTTACATTACAAAGCATAATTCAATTCTATTTACACAGGGCCAAATCACAACAACAGTCGCCTCAAGGCGCTTTATATTGTAAGGAATACCCTACAATAATACATACAGAGAAAAACCCAACATTCATATGACCCACTATGAGCAAGCACTTTTGGTGACAGTGGGAAGGAAGGGTTATTAACTAGGGGTGCAGCAATACTCGTATCGATATTGAACCATTCGATACAGTGCTTTCGGTTCGGTACGCATATGTATCGAACAATACAAAATTTTTAATTTATTTTATCAACTTTTCTTCTGACGATGCTGTCTGTGTTGAGAGCTCAGTGGATCTGCGTTCAACTACTCCGTCTAGGCTGCACTGTCGAGCGTGGATCCACTGAGCTCAGCGCAAGCTAGCGAGACAGATGTTAAGCTCGTTGCAACATGGCAACTGCTGCAACGCTAGCCAAAATTGAACCTCCCCCACCCTCATTCAGATCTGGCGTTTGGAACTATTTTGGTCTTCATGTGAAGTATGACCCTGAAGGTAAGCGCGTCATGGACAAAAGTAAAACAGTATGTTAGATGTGCCACGCAATGCTCAATTACATTGTTGAGAATTAGTGCGTTAGCGCAGTTAGCTCGTTAACGTGTTGACGCCGTCCAGCCCCACACACGGGGCGATCCGCAGTAACTCGTTAACGGAGATTTGCCGCGTTATGGCGTTAATGTCAATTTTAACGAGATTAACGCTGACAGCACTAGTGGGAACACAACGAATATGACTGCACATTTACGCCGACATCATCCTAGTGCAAAGACAAGTGGAAGCAGACAAAAACAACAAGTACGTATGCTACAAACTACCTGAGTCATTTAGACAGCCGTTAGCACATGATTCTCCTTATGGGGACCTGATATGTTTAATATGCTGCTGAGAATATAGCCCAGAAGAAGCGTATAGTATAGCTTTTATTTTGGAAAGAGACATTTCTCTGTAATAAACTCTCTTTTCCAAAGTTGAGTGATTTCTCGATCAGATATTTTTTTTTTTTTAATTATTTTGTTTCAGCAACATTACATTTAAAAACTGTACTTTTGAGTTAAAATATATATTTATAATTTTAATAAATGACAAATTAAAAAGGAATGAACAATTTTTTGTATCGAAAAAATATTGAACCGTGACACCAAAGTATCGAACCGAATCGTGAATTTTGTGTATCGTTGCACCCCTATTATTTACACATCAGTGCATTGTGTACAAGTGCCTGATAGGATGGTGTACCTGCAGCTGATGGTCTAGGGTGAGATAAGCCATGGGAATGGAGTTGTCTGAGCCATTTGTATCTGAGGGGAGAAAGATATATAACAGGCTGTTTTGGGATTTCATAGAAACAGAAATGTCAGAAATTAGCAACACACGTCCTAAACACATCTTTGGCCAAAAAAACAGAAAAATCATTAACATTTATAAAGGTAGCCTGAATGAGTTATAAAGTTGGGCCACAGTGATATTGATGGTGGTATAGTCATTGTGTTTAATAGATGTGTAATAAATCACTGAGGGGTACAATTTTTCACTCTGACATTTGACATGGATACCTCAGTGGGAACAGCTGACAAGAAGTTCTTCGCAACTAAACTTTTTGATATGGTCCAGAAAGGATTTGTTTCAATTCACTTAGACTGTCATGGATTTGGAAGAGGAGAGCTTTTTGAGGATTACCAATTAGCAGTTTTCATCAGAAACTGAGATGCCAGGAGTTCCCAGCTGTTACTGCACATGATATGACTCATATGTTCAGTCCTAATAATACTTTCCCAATGTGGCAGTTTGAGACTTAATACTTACAATAATTATATAATAATTTCTGTACTGTTGCTCATAATTTCAAACAAATAGCTTACAAAAACTTTTCAACAGTGATTCCCTTCTCAATTGTGGCTGTACATTGGGTGGCACTACCCAATGTAGTAAACAGTAGTTAACTGTAGTGGAATTTGTGCAGTTGTCATTACCTGTGGGGTCATCGGGGGAGAAATAGCCCCTGCCACTTGTCTTGTCAGGCGGCATCATTCTCACACTTGGACTGGAAGATCGACTGCTGTTCCTACTCCCCTGCAAAAGACACAAAAGAAGCCAAAAAGTCAATCACACCCTCCAAGTCTCAGAGTGAGAAAACGACATCTGGACCAAAATATGAGCAAAATAGTGCACTCATTGTAGACAACATGGAGACATTTTTAGTAATGTCATGTCTTTGAAGATGCGCCAGTGTTTTGTTAGCAGCAATAGTGAAGAATAATGAGCGCACCATTTAACAGCCACTTTAAGCATTTCTGTCACATTTGTGTCCCACAATGTGGCTGTTATGCTTTAAGCTTGACACAAAAGTACTGTGCACTCTGATTGTGCAGGTTTTAAGTTTACTAATGAATCTAATGCATTGATACTTTAATGGTATAGTAGACAATCGCATTATGCTGTGACGTGATCTGTGAATATGGGTTTTGTTGAACTGCTAAGGACTGAACAGTGAAGCTATAATTCTGGGCACACCATAAAGAGCGTGAAACTAGAAAAGCTAACTGTTATCTTTCAAACTAAAAAATGTGATTTAAGTTAGATCTCTTTAAACGCTCAATCCCTAAAGTCACTAATCATCAAAAAGCTAAAACCTCACAGGTCCTCTGCACATGTCTTACCTGGCTGGATTCTGTGCAGATGCCTGGCAGATCCTGTACAGACCGACGTCTCTGAGACTCACATGTGGCTGTGAAAAGCGTAAAGGACAGACAAGAGAAAGAGTGAGACCTCAAGTACTATGGATAGTGGTACTGGGGGACTAATCCCTGTGTTTGCTTGTGGCTTGACGGGGATCCAGACCCACAGAGCCATACTGTAACAGTTGCACTTACTTAACCATCATAAGTTGTGGTGTGGCGGGAACATAACCAATCCATTCAATTCTATTTATGTTGTGCCACTTGTTCAAGGTTCACAATATTGAAATGTAAAGACCCAACAATATTAGAAAGAAACCCAAACAATCACCCAACTCCCTGTAACAATCCCCCTAGCAAGCACTTGGCAACAGTGCGAAGGAAAAACTCTGTTTTAACATAAAGACACCTGCAGCAGAATCAGACTCAGGGATGGGTAGAAGAGAACAAAAACAGCGGGGCTATAAGTAACCGCCATTGACAGAGAACACAGCATACACACAAACCACCACTCCAGACAAAAATACAAAAAAGGTTGTTGGGGGCAGCTCAGACAAAAACACAAAATGTCACAGTACTCATTCTAGTAATCAGCAATTCATCTGCTGTTCAGGTTAACACTATGCCAGGATGACATTAGGTGCAATCAGAACATCAGCTCGATCACCTTGCAGGAACTACAAGACTCTTCAGTTGCATGCAATTTCAAGTTCTGACAGAATTCCAGTGTTTTCTCCACACATGTTACTAGAGATGGGTACCGGTAGTAACCAGACTGAAAAGCAGCGCACATTTCGGTGCTTTATTTCGGTGCTTTTTTTCCCCCTGAGATGTCATACACTTTGGATTCTAGCCAATCATTTTACCTTTGCAAGCGTAGTAGGCGGGCCCAGGTACGTACGTTCTTTTAGAGCAGAGCTACAGATTAAAAATGCCCAAGGCGAAGCGGTCAAAAGTCTGGCTGTACTTCACAGCAAAAGATGCAAACTCAGCAGCCTGCAACAAGTGCTTTAAGGTGATACTGTGCAAAGGAGGTAACACCTCGAATCTGATGAAACACCTGGCGACGTATAGCATTTTGTTAAAAGCCGAGAAATGCGCCGTATTTGATAGCTTGCTGCGAGACCTCACACCGAGCACATCTACTGCGGGTGTGGTGCCTGTTATCAGACCCGGAGTTAGCAACATCCCCCAAAAACCCGAAGAGGAGAGTCCTGGCCCCTAGCCCTGCCAGTGTAGCAGAAATGATGACGGATGATGATGGCAGCAGCAGCCGTTCTTCTCTGTCGTGAGTAGCTTAATGTTGTTCGTGTGTAATTTACGTTGAGTAGGCTAACCACGTTATTACATTAATGCATGTAAGGTGAACTAGCAAACACCATCGTAGTTACATGCGGCTGTCTTCTTGTTTGATGGCAGATACTCCCTTCACCCTGGCCAAAAAGGCTAAAATGACCAAAGAAAAAGTGGAAAACAGTTAAACATGAGAGGTTTTTGGACAAAGTTTGTGTTTTTTCCATTGTTTAAGCACTGCTTCCAGCCAAGAGTGATACCATATATGCCCCATAGCTGCAGAAAAGGCTAACATTGTTATCTTTTTACAAAAAACAGCTGAACATGAGAGGTTTTTGGACCAATTTTGTGTTCTCCATTCTTTAAGCACCGTTCGAGCACCGTTTGAGCACCGGCACCGTTTCAAAAGTACCGGTTTGGTACTGGTATCGGATAAAACCTAAACGATACCCATCCCTATATGTTACACAGAGTCACAAACTAGCACCAAAACACGAGTGCAACCAATAGTACATTGAGTAATACTACTACCACTCCTCATAATAGCACTAATAATTTACATATCTGTCTTTAGGAATAACAGTCACTCTGAAGCTAAGAGTTGACAGTTGGAGCAACAACATGACAATTAGCCACAGGTACTAACCTAAAATGATATTTTATTAGCAGGCAGGTCCCTCTGGGCTTCACACCAAAATCAACTAAGCTTTGAATGGAATTAAACTTTTTAGGACTCCCAAAAATGCTAAATATTATTCAAGACATCAGACTTTTGACATTTTACCAACATACCATTAATCTGTATTATATATGGTCACAATCTCTGAAATGGCAATGTTAAATGGGAACTGGGACAGTCTAAGATAAAATGTCCTCCTGTTAAAATTGCGGTTGCTGGTGTTTGTAATCTAATCTCTAGGACAGTGTGACAGGGCCTCTAAATAATAATACATTCATAATGGACTGAAAAAAGCAATACTTGTAATCAAAGTTATGGCAAACAATGCAATTAACGATTAAAAATGTGACATTTTGCATAAACTTTTCACCAAACAGCAATGACATGTTGCAACCAACACATTTTAAAAACGCACAACTGCTTGGCAAGTAGTTTGCAGACTGGTCAGCATCTTCTATGCAAACTGTTGGCGACCTGCTAGTTACCAAAGAAATCCCCAGGAAGTTTTTGGTGTAGCACTGTATACATCTTTGCAACTAATATCACATGAAAGACTGGCCGCAACATCCAGCAATCGCCTGCCAAACAGATCACGGGGGTCAGTGGTCAATGAAGTCTTTAGGTCTGCGTGGATGGCTCTATAGCAATGAGTCTCACAGCAACCATTTGCAACTGGTCGCAAGTCACGACCAGTGCAGACTTATTTTGGTGGATTTGACTGATCTCTAGGCCTGTGTGATTCACAATTAACTGACGCCTAAAACAAACAAACAAACAAACAAATAAATAAAATAAGCGATATCAACTTTAACACCACCCACTTGGAAAAGGGATTCTTCTATAGTCAGGACATTCCCCAAATTTCTAATTTACATCCATGAAAAGTGATCCTATTAAGACAAATTTTTAGTTTTAGAGTTATTGGTTCTATTACTAGTTAGATAACATACACTAATATAAACCTATTGACTGCAAACAACCAACCTGATGATGTCATGTTCTGTACTAACAAGATGACACTAAACATTTTTCAAATATTTTAAGGACTTCTTAAATGTAGTCACATAGACAGTGTTACACATGTAACGTTTCACAGATCAAAGCACACCCCACGGTCAGGTCGCTCACTCACCACCAACGTGATTGGTTTGGTGGTGAGTCAGCGGTGATCTGGAGGGATCATGGAAAAGTGACTCGATGAAGATCAGACCACATTTTACTGACACTCATTACATAAATTGGTTATTTTTTTTCCTTGTACAGGTTTGCAGATCCAAAGGTGCGTGCCTTACCATCTATAACAATTCCATGCAGACTCCCTGCACCACTTGATTAAATGAAACACTTACTCAATGTCTCTCATATATCTTCAAAATAGAAGTATTTCTGACAGGCAGAGTTGTCCCCATTCCCTTTGATCCATATCTCAACTTATAATAATAGCTCTGACCCTCACTGTGAGGGAAATTAATCAAAATGACTTTTTTCAAAGTGGATGTGGATGGATGGAAAGTGAGTGAGAAATGGGGAAAAAAAATAGCCATGCTTTCTCAATGTCCTCTAAGCATGAAAGTCAAGGACAAGCTCAAATGCACTAATTTACTACTGCTACCCGTGATTTGCTGCAGCCAAGCCAGGGATATAAGAGACAGGAGAGGGCCAGGACTTAGGAAAGTTATCTCATCTATGTCAACATACTGACTATAATGTACTGATTAAAAACAACTTGCTTTTAGTGGACAAATATGCACACAGCTCCAACAAATGTGTTGATAACAGATGAGAAAACTTCAATATTTTACGAAAAACAAACAAAGAAAAAACAGAAAACAGGACATGACACAGCTATGATGTATGTAACTCCAAAATCAGCTTCAAGGACTTCTGTGTTGTTGTTTTTTTAAATTTTAAATTTTTGGTTTGTGTTTTTAAATCAGAGGGCAAATTCGAAGAAAATTTAAATGTTATGAACATTATCTGCATTCTTGAGGGGATCATATGGAGTGACACACAAAAGAAAGCCATGTCTGATGACAGTAACCCACAGGCTCATTCAAGCCAGTTCCACCGTGTCACCGGAAAGACCAGTAGTCCAGTGATACCTGTAACGACGATCTTGGGGACATCCAGTATGGTTCCGAATGATGCAGTTTTACGGTGGCCTCGCTTATACGGGGGGTTTGCTGCAAAAACACATATACACATATAGCTGCATACAGGACAAGCATGCCCACAGCTGCAAATGTGGGTCATACACATGCAGAACATAGGTGTGCATGCAGAGGAAACATGCACCATTCATTCCAGGAGCTGTGGATCAGTACTGCATAGACAGTCAGCAGAGAATGCACTACCTTCCTCAGCACAGACAAGAGCAGGCATTTTGCTTTTTGGAAAAATTCAACAAGGTGATCTGAGAACAGAGTTTTCAATAATTGAATGTTAGAAACCCCAACCACTGAAGCTATATTTAATTGTGAACAACATTTAAAACAAACAAACAAACAAACAAACAAACAAGAAAGAAAACTGACAGACATTCACATTGAAATCGAAACTACACCAGAGGAGTTCTTGATTTAGTTTCTCTATGACAGCACGAGTACATCTGCTGAAAGGAGATTAGCGACAGCTGGTTTCGAGAGGCCCTATTTTCAGAGACATATTGACACTTTTAATGAGGAATCAATCTTCAATTCAAAGTGATGAAATCACATAAAAGGGCGACCTAGGTGCCAAAAAGAAGCTTCCAGACTGGACCAGCAAAGACTGCCTCAATATTAATACTGCATGCACTCCCCCCTTTTTTTTTTTTTTTTTTTTAAATTTGAAGTAATGGCGTGATCAGGCCAATATGCTTTGTTAAGCTGGTCTTTTTTTTTCCTTTTCTTTTTTTAAATGTATTTGATGTATTGATTTGTGCCAAGTTTTGTCTGGCATTACCTGCAGGTGCAAACTGCATCTTGGGCTCCAACTCTGACAGGTCAGCACTCATTCTTTTGCTGTCAGAAGAAGACAGGCACTGTGTTCGTGCTGACAGACTCTCAACGCTGCCCCCTCTGGAAAGAGACACATTCCTTAATGTGTCTCCCTGAAAGACAAACACGAAACTTTTACTGAACCACAGAAGACTGTATTACAAATGAGGATTAAGTGCTTATCAGTGCAACTTCATGGCTGACTCTGGGTTTTCAGTGTTCTGCAAACCTGGGATATACATTTTTTTACCAGTCAATATAACAGCTAATATAAAAAATTGCCCTTTAAGGACCTTTATGTTTGTTTCATTGTTCATTGACATATGCATTATGTTGAATCCAAACTATGTAAAAACTATGTTAAAAAAAACACCACAACACAGAAACCAGCAGAGTTGTCAACAGAAGACAAAAAAAAAAAAAAAGATAAATCATTACATGTACAGTAAAAACGTCCCTTTTTAATATGGTCTTACCTTTGGCTTGAAATGAGGTGCAAACTGAGGCGTAATCTTAATAGTGTCATTGCTCCCTTGAGAATCACTGTGCTCCATGTTCGCATCACTTCTGTAGCTTGTGCTGTTACCAGTGTAGTCTACATATGAACCTGTCATTTCAATAGACACAGGACAGGACAGAAGTTAAATTTATTTATCAGTTTTAATATCAGGACAGCAAAGCAGGCAGGCAGGAAAGGAGCGATCGAGAACAAGACTGCAGTAAATTTTTGGCACAAGGGCTATCTGCTCAAATTTATACTGGCACAGGGACAGTTTCAATATTTTTTTAAATATACACTTTCACCGGTATTGCATCTTTACATTAACTTTGTGGATTTTTGTTGTCTTTGAGTTTTCAAAACACTGAAAAAAAAATCAAATAATGAAAATAAAGAACTAACAGACAAATATAGAAATCTGAAATAGACTGAAAATATTACTACAATGCATTTTCCTCTGCTTAGTTATATGCTTAACCTTAGGTGGTTGTCTCATTTGAGTTGAGGCTGTATTTGAATTGTCTTGCCACGGCCATCTCTATGGAGGAGTTGGGTGGGGGCAGAGCATCTGTGGCTCCTGGGAGAGGTGGGAGGCTCACGTGTACTTACAGTCAGGTCCATAAATATTGGGACATCGACACAATTCTAACATTTTTGGCTCTATACACCACCACAATGGTTTCCAAATGAAATGAACAAGATGTGCTTTAACTGCAGACTGTCAGATTTTATTAGAGGGTATTTACATCCAAATCAGGTGAATGGTGTAGGAATAACAACAGTGTGCATATGTGCCTCCCACTTGTTAAGGGACCAAAAGTAATGGGACAGAATAAGAACCACAAATCAAACTTTCACTTTTTAATTCTTGGTTGCAAATCCTTTGCAGTTAATCACAGCCGGAAGTCTGGAACACAGACATTACCAGACGCTGGGTTTCATCCCTGGTGATGCTCTGCCAGGCCTCTACTGCAACCGTCTGCAGTTACTGCTTGTTCTTGGGGCATTTTCCCCTCAGTCTTGTCTCCAGCAAGTGAAATGCATGCTCAATCTGATTCAGTTCAGGTGATTGACTTGGCCATTGCAAAACAGTCCACTTCTTTCCATTCAAAAACTCTTTGGTTGCTTTTGCAGTATGCTTTGGGTCAATGTCCATCTGCACTGTGAAGCGCCGTCCAATGAGTTCTGAAGCATTTGGCTGAATATGAGCAGATATTATTGCCCGAAACACTTCAGAATTCATCGTGCTGCTTTTCTCAGCAGTCACATCATCAATGAATACAAGAGAACCAGTTCCACTGGCAGCCATACATGCCCACGCCATGACAGTTCCACCAACATGCTTTACTGATGAGGTGGTATGCTTAGGATCATGAGCAGTTCCTTTCCTTCTCCATACTCTTCTCTTCCCATCACTCTGGTACAAGTTGATCCCTGTCTCACCTGTCCATAGGATGTTGTTCCAGAACTGTGAAGGTTTTTTTTAGATGTCGTTTGGCAAACTCTAATCTGGCCTTCCTGTTTTTGGGGCTCACCAATGGTTTACATCTTGTGGTGAACCCTCTGTATTCACACTGGTGGAGTCTTCTCTTGATTGCTGACTTTGACATACATACACCTACCTCCTGGAGTGTGTTTTTTATCTGGCCAACTGTTGAGAAGGGTGTTTTCTTCACCAGGGTAAGGATTCTTCGGTCATCCACCACAGTTGTTTTCTGTGGTCTTCTGGGTCTTTCGGTGTTGCTGAGCTCACCGGTGCATTCCTTCTTCATGAGAATGTTTCAAACAGTTGTTTTGGCCACGCCTAATGTTTTTGCCATCTTTCTGATGGGTTTGTTTTGTTTTTTCAGCCTAATGATGGCTTGCTTCACTGATAGTGACAGCTCTTTGGATCTCATCTTGGCAGTTGACAGCAACAGATTCCAAATGCAAATAGCACACTTGAAATGAACTCTGGACCTTTTATCTGCTCATTGCAATTGGGATAATGAGGGGATATCACACACCTGGCCATGGAACAGCCAAGAAGCCAATTGTCCCATTGCTTTTGGTCCCTTAACAAGTGGGAGGCACATATGCAAACTGTTTTAATTCCTACACCCGATTTTGATGTAATAACCCTCTAATAAAAGCTGACAGTCTGCAGTTAAAGCACATCTTGTTTGTTTCATTTGTTGGAATTGTGTCGATGTCCCAATATTTATGGACCTGACTGTATGCCACACTGATTCAGTGCTGGTCCTATAAATTCACAAAAATGCCACACTTCTGTGTACTCTGTTCAGTGTTACTGTCACTGCACCCTCAACTGCACTGAAGCATTTGTGATGACTGGCAATGAGTCTTTTACAGCGCTGTGGAGAAATCTTGGCCCACTCATCTTTGTAGAATTGTTGTAATTCAGCCTCACTGGAGAGTTTGAGCATGAACCGGCTTTTTAGGTCACACCACAGAATGGCAATCAAATTCAGTTCAAAGGTTTGACTAGGCCACTCCAAAGTCTTCATTTGGTTTTTCTTATATCATTCAGAGGTGGACTTGCTGGTGTGTTTCGGATCATTGTCCTGCTGCAGAACCCAAGTGAACTTCGGCTTGATGGCTGGACATTCTCCTTCAAGAATGATTTGGTAGACAACAGAATTCATGGTTCCATTTACTATAGCAAGTCAACAAAACAGCTCCACACCATCATACTACTACCACCATATTTTACTGTTGGTATGATGTTCCTTTTCTGAAATGCTGTGTTATAGTAATGCAAGATGCAAGGGGACACACACTTTTGTCCAAAAGTCTTGGGGATCATCAAGATGTTCTCCAGCAAAACTGAGAAGAGCCTTTATGTTCCTTTTGTCGTCTCTTTCTTCTGGTGGAGTCATGAATACCGGCCTTAACTGAGGCATACAGTTCTTCTGATGTCCTTGTGGGGTCTTTTGGGACCTCTTGGATGAGTTGTCACTGCACTTTTGGGGTAATTTTGGTCATGTGGCCACTCCTGGGAGGGTTCACCACTCTTACATGTTTTCCCCATTTGTGGATAATGGCTTTCACTGTGGCTTTCTGGAGTCCCAGAGCTTTTCTATTACTATTATTGTAATTTTATATTATTGTTGCGTTTACTTTTATCCTGTTGCTAAACGAATTTCCCTTTTGGGACAACAAAGAATTTGAGTGGAATTGAATTGAATTAGATATGGCTTTATTTAGTTTGTCATTTGTTCCTGAATTTTCTTGGATCGCGGAATGATGTCTGGCTTTTGAGGATGTTTTGGTATACTCCAGTACTTATGTACTTAGGAACATCTATCTTACTGCTTCATGTTAATGTTAATCCAGCTGCTAATGTTATGTGTACTGGCCTGAATTTTACTGCAATCATTTGCCCACAAACTTAAGCCAAGGCTGCTTTCTTTTGAAGGTATATTATTCTGAGAACTTCTAAAACACATGTGACCTTGAGCTCAGTACTGGGCAACTGTATAGATACCAGGATACACTGGAGTTGCTGTGCTGGTCAACAACATGCCGCTCATGGTACACCTTTGTAAACATCCATGGTATTTGTGCAGGCAGAGAAAACAGTTTGAATTAACAAAGGAAAAAAATCCTATGTGGTAGAAGAAGTAAGTTAACAACGCACATAATAGTTTTTCTGTAAAGAAAAGCGATTAGCAGCAGTAAGAGGAACTATAATTATTTAAACATAATCTAGAGC